CTGCTGGTCCTAACCTAGGACCTGAGTGGCCCCAGGAAAGGACAACAAACCTTCCTCTAGCAGGTCCTGCCCAACTCCTTATTCTCTTCCTGGTATGGGAGCCTGTCTCCCTTGCACCGTTTGGGTAAAATCATCTGAGAAGATGGAAGGCAGCCAACCACAACAACTCTGAGATTTCTCTAGCTTCTTGGATCCTAATCAGTCAGACTTTAAGCTGGGGCTTGGCACTAGATGTACATTGCTGCTTCGAGCTGATGACTTTCTGGGAATAAACAGAGGTCAGATGTCCAGGCTGACTTTAGATCTGCCAAAATCTTCTGATCCAATTGACAATAAAGCAGCAGTGATCTGGCTACAGGATTTGGCAGGGGATAGTATCATTATCTTCAAGTCCTTGGTCCTTAACAAGAAACTTCCAAGGCCCTAAGGAATATCTAGGACCATCGTTATTTCTTAGCTGCTTGGGAAATATTTCATATCTTAAGCTGAGACTGGAGATTCAGCCTTTGCTATTAAACTGTCTCTACCATCACCAACTGTGATCCTTCTCTCTGGCTTTTCTGCTGGAGGAGGGTCTGTGGGGAATTAGCATAGCTGGAAAGAAACAGACCTGCTTCTCTAGGGGTTTAATGAGATGATAGCTGGAGTCACCACTCCTACAAGTTGCCAAGGTTAATTGAGACCATGGAATCATGGAGTTAGAAGCAGAAGCACTGACACACTGGACACGGTGCTTAACACTGGTCTTCCATTGGCACTCAGGGCTAAGGGGGTTGGGGGAGGGTGAGGTGGGAGGGCCCATCATCGGGGATGGCTCCAGCAGAGAGGCAGGAAAAGAGGACTGTGCGCAAGAATACTGCAGGGCAGCTGCTGGGTTTCCCAGGCAGCACCCGGCACAGGACAGAAAAGGTAGGTATCCAGTATGCCTTCGGCCCCCAGATTCTGCTTTCTCCGAATCTTTCCCCCTCTCCCCTCAACTCCTCCGAAGTCCCGCGTCCGAACCCTGACCCTTCCCCCACTCACCACACGATAGAACAAGATGCTCATTTCTTTCCTGTGACAGTACACCCTTCCTTACAAGGGCCCTAATCCAATGTATTTGCAAACCGGGGGTGGGGAGTTCACTCAGCAGTGCCCTGGGCACAGTGAATTTTCCTCAGTTGCCGTGCGTCCAGTCAGTACGCGTCACATACCAATCTAATGCACAGATGGAAGCTGGGCTAGGAAGCCTACCCACCGTCTTCCAGGGAAAACTAAGAGTATTCTAAGATCTTATATAAAGTGGCTTTTCTGGTTTTTTGCTTTAGATACTGGGGAACACAGCTCCTTTGAATTTTGGAAGGAATTAATTTGTAGATGACATCATTCAGTATACTGAAATGTGGCAGGATTCAGATTTTTTAAATCAGCATTTGCTTTTCTTGGTTAAATGCAGCCATTTTTAGGGGGGTAATTGCTTAATATGCCTGGCACATTATTGAAATCCCTTATGAGAGGCTCAGAATGAGTCAGAAGGTCAGTTTATTCCTTGGCCAGGTTCCTTTCACAGCACGGGTTTTCCTGTGCTGCTGTTCAGGAGGAGCAATTAAGACTTTCTGTGTATTCAAAGCTTTCCAGCTGAATTCTGACCCCATCAAATGATATCATCAGAGCTCTGGCTTCTGCCTGCTGGTACACAGCTTTCAGTCAGCAAAACTTTGGGGGCCTTTTTCTTTCCCAAGCTTAAAAATATGGGATCTGATGCCCTCTCTCTAGGGCAGCCTCTTTACTCCCTACCATCCCACTGGCTTTCTGCAGCTTTTAAAACACCCTTGGCTATCTCCGTACCCTACATAGAAACACATAAATTCTTTACATTACTACTTTGAGAGCCCAAAAGCCCTCGTTAAAATATTTTTACTTCTTCAGAGTGGTCCTGCCAACATTTGGTAGGTACAGACCACTGGAAAGGTGGCTGATTCCCACGGATCAGTGGCTTACACTGGCAACTTCCCCATCCACATGATCTACACACTAGATAGCTACAGAATTTCAGGGTGGGAAGAATTTATAGCTCCAACTGCCTTTGATGCATGCTTTCTTAGAAAATCGCACTTAAGAACTGAGGTAGTATATCTCAAGTTCTCCTGTTTGAGTTCCACTGAAGATGAGCCAGACTTTTATGAACCATAAATGTACTTTGCATCCTCCCCTTTTTTCCATAAAAATTTCCTTCCTCTGCCCAGTTTTTCTATTTTCTCTGGCTTTAAATCCTAGTGTTTATAAAAACAGAAAATGTTACAGTTCAAAAGGTATTTATTTTTTTAATGCTCTGTCCAAAGCCACTGGTTTGAAAAGAGGTGCTCTTCTCCACAATTTTTTTCTGTCAAACTGAAGAGATTCAAGGAGATAGGCAAACAACTTTTATTTCAGGGTACAAGTTTAATGTTGATTTAAGTAGAAACACTTTTCTTCCTTGTTCCTGAGCTGGTTGGTAAAGAAAGACCAGTGCTGGATGTTTAATAGTTAATGAGTTAAAATGTTACCAAATCAACTTCAAACGGGAATTTTACACACCAGATGCTTATTCAAAGGTCTTAACAGTCTCATGCAGAGCTTCTGTTGTGCTCCTCTAAGTGTGGTTATTGCCACAGCTCAGAAGAAAAATAAAAAGCAGGGGTTTTGCATAAAATGACTTTATCAGAAGACCTAAAGGCATAATACTCAGATGTATCAAGGCAAAAACAAAAGGCATAATTTTGTCTTGGAAGTCCCATTATGAGGGTTTGGCAACTGAAAACTTTTTTTGGATCCCAGGTGGATGGAGCCCGAGAGAGACTGTCAGAACAACAGTACAACAGACTTGTGGACTACATCACAAAGACATCTTGTCACCTGGCCCCCAGCTGCTCTTCCATGCAGACCCCATGCCCAGTGGTGGCTGTGGAACCTCTCCCTTCCACTGTGAAAACATATCATTATATGGTTGATCCACATTTTGCTCAAGTCTTCATTAGTAAATTTACCATGGTAAAAAATAAAGCCCTGAGAAAAGGGTTCCCTTGAGTCCTCTCTTGAGGTGTTGATCCCTGCATGTGCAATTTATTCTTGAAAAAGAAACTGAACTAGCTCTAATAACATCTAATATGGACACAGGCCAATACTTTTACAATTATAGGTAATTTTCCAAAAATTCTAAAATTAATTGATTCTTCTCCCTAAAACTATCATTAAAATGCAATGATAAAAAACAAAACAAAAAAAACAACCTTGTTCCTTTCCCATTTGGAGACGGTGATTAAAAGAATCTCTGTGTTGTCATTTCATTACACATGTATTCTACCTTTTGCTAATGGTATTTGATAAAATGTTTACTATAATTAAGATCTGTAACTCGCTGCTCTAACACAAAATGTGGTCAGGCCTTAGAATGGAGAGACTGGTTAAAACTTCATCCCCAACTGCATCTGTTTCTACGCTGAAACACTGTCTTTGCCCAATACCCTCCTCTACAAACATTTGGAATCTTTAAAGGATTTTATTTAAGTTGTTAAATTTATTAAAGTGATGCTCCTCTTTAAGCGAAACCTGCTATGTATATTTCCACTTTAAAGGCTACAGGTTACTGAAATTTACAAGACCTTCTCATGACTGTCCAAGTACACTGTAGAAAAAAAAGTTTCATCAATTTATGTTTTAGCAAGCAAGCCTATGTGTCTACCAATGAAAACAGAGCCAAAGGGCTCAGGTGAGTTTCTCTAGTTCCATAAAGAAAACACACTATTAGGAATTCCCTGTGACACACTCTCATGTTATAGGGGTTTAGCAGAAGAATATTCATACTGTCCTGGGGTACTGGAGGGAAGGTCAAGAACCCTAGTGTTAACCTTAACAATGAGCCAGTTTATTTTGAATGGATCAAACATGAAAATATTCCCAATGTCTGATACTATTTTTGCATTCAGTCTCACATGTCATCAGGCATGGAAGTCACTGCATAATTGTTTCTGGAAAGCAAGACTGAATTCAGATTAAACATGAAAAACTGATTCTTCCATTAGTCTGTTGTGTCACACTCGTTTAGGAAAGTGACTGCTTTGTCAACCTCTAAAGTAACTATTTTTAAGAATGTATATATATATTATTGTATCTTTGTCATTTTGCATACTACTTCTAAGAATTGTTATATAAATTGAAAATAAAAGGAATCCTTGAATTACTGACCACATACAAATGTGTATTGTTACCAGGTGTTTTTCAAATGCAAGCTTTCACCAATTCCTGGGTTTAATACAGCTCACATTATTAGGACCCAAGAATTTTGTAGGAGTTAAAAAGGCTAAGAAACAGTTTCTGTTACCTAACAAAGTGCCAATCAGTGATAAACTTAGTTCAGGCTAAATACACTTAATTAAAACTCTCTGTACTATCACTCTCATCACCAAAATGGATTAATATAGGGGAGAAAGGTCATCCTAAGACTTCCCCCAAAATAAGTTCCCACACTCTCAATCATTAGCAGACATTAATAACTTTTTCTTTTCTTTTTAATAAATTTTTTTATTTTTTTTTAATTTTTATTTATTTATGATAGTCACAGAGAGAGAGAGGCAGAGACACAGGCAGAGGGAGAAGCAGGCTCCATGCCGGGAGCCCGACGCGGGACTCGATCCCGGGACCCCAGGATCGCGCCCTGGGCCAAAGGCAGGTGTGAAACTGCTGAGCCACCCAGGGATCCCCCCAAGAACATTATTTTATTGAAAATAAAAATTAAAAATTCTGTCCCTTCTAAGAGCAAACAGTATAGTAGTCGTAGAGGTTCATGGAGACCCCCTTAAATCATGACCAAGAAGGTACACCTACAAGTATTTCAGTGAAATGAACACCAAAGCAATAAAAAAATATCCTTTAACAGTGAAACTTTTAAGAAATCTTAAATCCAGTTATCTTCCTAGGTTCATACATACAGTTAAAATCTTCAACTCTGAATTATCGGGAATAATTAAAGACTTAGTCCAAAATATTTTTTAGTTGTTTATTAAGAGAAACTATTCCATAACCCAGTGTTCGTGTTTCATAGCTCAGGAACACAGGACAATCAAGCTTCAATGAAACACCACCCAAAGAAATTCTGTGGAAAAAAACACAGTGGCTTAAGTTAATAACAAGCATTCTCGCTTAATACCTCACCATGCTTAAAATCACATGAGGTCTACTCCTACTAGTGGAGCTTAGTCAGACCATTTCAGGCTACCTGAGCTCCAGGTCCATTCTCTGCCAAGGTCTCTGACCATCCTGACCAGTTCTGGGCATATTACACCTTACTCTGATTTATTGTTTTTCAGACCAAACTTTGCCTATTCTTCCCTCTCAAATCCATTCTCCTCCATTCCCTTCTCATACCTCCATACTGTTCTTAAAAGCAGCAGCTCGTCTGTTCTAAACAGTATGTCTATTCCTGTCTCCAAATCTGTTTTTCTTACTGATTTTTAAACACAATTTATTTAAAAAAAAAAAAGGTAACCTAACAAATACTACACATTAGCCTGTTAACATCTGATTATGAAATGCACATACCCACTGTGGAAATTGTGAAAATGTCAAAGTTATAAGAAAGCAGCAACGTTAAGATTCCATACAGGCCATTAATATTTTGATTTTTTTTTTTACCTTCAGTCTTTTTTTCTGTGTAATTTTTATTAAACACAGACCACCCTTTATACACATTTTCTATTTATATAATAATCTCATGTTACTTTGAATATCATTTCTAATGGACATAATGTAATAATCTGTGGTATGAAACAGTCATGCTTCTGTATTAATTTTCCAACCACTGGAAACAAAGTTCTTCCTACTTTTTCTAAATAATGCAGTAGATACTTCGTTCATGCATCTATGTGCATTTCAGATTATTTCCTTTAAGATAAACAACTACAGAAATGAACATTATAGAATTTAATCTTCTGTTAGGCAAAAGTTACTTATACTCAAAATTATCCTTGAGTCTTTTAAAAAACTAGAATCCACTGCAGCAAGTCTCATACACCCAGGAAAGACCATTCATACACACACACACTATCAACACTACAGCTGGAATGCTTATTCTGGTACATTCTGCCTAAAAAGCAGACTGACATTCCCCTTGTCACATCAAACTCAGGAGTGGTGGATAGAATTTTAAATTGTTCTAATTGCTTTTCTCGTTAAGCCTGAATAAAGTTAAATACATGAATGATGAAATTCCAAAGTATAGTTTCACATGCTTTCAAATTTAGTAAATGACCTTTCATCAGCACACAAGTCACTTCCTTCATAGTCAACAGAACCTTATCTATGAGGCATAAGGACTTTGTGGATATAATAAACCAAGTCAGGATCTCTGGAGGGCCAAGTCACTTATGGACACCCAACTAAACTATAAAAGGAGTAAAAAACTCTACTTCTAAAAGAGTTTCCTAATGCCCATCTAGCAAGCAATAGCAGAACATTTGAAATGATTCTGAATATAAAAAGCAAGAGTTGTGAGAACTCTAGAAACCAAACACTAATAAAACAAAAACACAAAAGGGCAAGAAATTTCATGGAATTCTTGCTCACTCTTGCCTCACCCCCCCCCCCCCCCCTTGGTGCAGCACAGTGTGGCCCAGAGGAAACTGACCAATTCCTGGCTCCTCTCTCAGGATAGAAAGTAAAAAATAAAAATTGCTTGCAACATTCTGACCTGTTTGAGATCTTCCCAAAGGACCATTTTCTATCTTGCCTATCTCTGGAATGGCATACTTGAGATATCAGAGTGCAAGCGGCTGAAAGCAGTGGGGGTCCCATGACACAAGAGCTACAGAGGGCCTGCAGACTCACAGGTACCTATGGGCAAGACTGTGGGCAGAGGAAAGCAAGAACAGTGAATGCTCCTAGAGGAAGTAGGGATGAGACTCTCACAAATTAACACTTAAAAGGAATAAAGTATACACAAGAACTGGAAGAAATGCACACAGGGAAAAGATGTATCTCCAGAAGAAGTTTCAGATAATCCTGAGCCTTTAGTGAAGATCTTCCCCTGCAAGGAGTTAATCCACAAAGGGGAGGGGTGGCTGTTATTCAAATGCCCTAACTACAGCAAAAGCCATACAAAGAAAAAGGAAAATATGGTCCACTCAAAGCAACAAAATCTCCAAAAACTCACACTGAAGAGACACAAGCCTCTAACTAAACAAAGACTTTAAAACAACAGCCTTAGGGATCCCTGGGTGGTGCAGCGGTTTAGCGCCTGCCTTTGGCCCAGGGCATGATCCTGGAGACCCAGGTTCGAATCCCACGTCGGGCTCCCAGTGCATGGAGCCTGCTTCTCCCTCTGCCTGTGTCTCTGCCTCTCTCTCTCACTGTGTGCCTATCATAAAAAAAGAAAATTATCTAATCTAAAAAAATAAAAATAAAAAAAAGTAAATAAAACAGCCTTAAATATTGCTCAATGAGCCAAAAGAGAACTTGGACAACTAAATGAAATCAGGAAAATACACAAAAACTTAAAAAAAAAAAATCAAATCAAAACTATGGTGCAGAAAAATAAAGTAACTGAACTGAAAAAATAAATCTCTAGAGGGGTTCAACAGCAGACTCTCACAAAAGAATTGGCAAACTTGGAACAGTCCATTTGAATTATTGAGTCTGAGAAGCAAAAAGAAAAAAAAATGAACAATAGAACTTAAGAGACCTATGGGACATCATCAAAAAGACCCATACACACTTACGGAAATCCCAGAAAAGCAAAGAGCAGAAAGCTTATTTGAAGAAATAATAGCTGAAAAGTTCTTAAATTTGAGGAAAGAAGTGAATATACAAATGCAAATACAAGAAGTTACTTGGAAGTAGAATAAACTCAAAGAAACCCATACCAAGATATAACCACTCTATCAAGAACCAAAGACAGGAATGCCTTTGTTGAGCATCGGCCTTCAGCTCAGGGTGGGATCTGGGGATCCTGGGATTGTGTCCCACACATCAGGCTCCCCAGAGGGAGCCTGCATCTCCCTCTGCCCATGTCTCTGCCTCTCTCTCCCTCTCTCTCTCTCTCTCTCTCTCGCTCATGAATAAGTAAAATCTTAAAAAACAAACAAAAAAACAGACAATGGATCTTGAAAGCAGCGAGAAACTTTATGTGATCACCTACGTCACCTCTGTAAGACTATATGGGGATTTTTCAGCAGAAACCTTGCACATAGGAATGCTGTCAGATGATGTATCTAAAGTGGTCACAAAAAAACAACCAAAAATACAGCATCTAGCAAAACTGACCTTCAAAAATGACAAAGAAAGATAAACAAAAGCTAAATATCAGGAGTTCCTCGCCACTAGACTTGCAATGGGAGTTCTTCAAGCTGAAACAAAAGTACACCAAACATTAACTCAAAGCCATGTGAAAATATAAAGTTCTCTGGTAAAGGCAAATATATGGACAAATATAAACCAGCATTACTAGAATTGTTTCATAACTCCATTTTTAATTTTGTAGGATTTAAAACACAAAAATAATTTTAAAACTATGTTAATGGGTACACTACATATAATTTGTGACAATAAAGCAGGGGAGCAGAGCTATTAAAGAGTGATAGTTTTGATAGATTGAAAATATCACATTCTGAAGTAGACTGTTGTAATTTTTTTCATATCCTATGCAATACCAAAGGTAACCACAAAGAAAATATTCACAGAATACACACAAAAGGAAATGAAAAGGCGATCAAAACATGTCACTATAAAAAAAACAAAAGGTATTAAGAGAGGATATGAAGGATACACAGCAACAAAATGGCAGATTAAATCTTTCCTTATCAAGTAACTATCTTAAATGTAAAGAATGTAAAGAACTCAACAACATACATGGCCAACAGACACACGAAAAGATGTTCAGTATCATTAATCATTAGGGAAATGCAAATCAAAACCAGAATGAGACATCACCTCAAACCAGTCAGAATGCTAGTATCAAAAATAGGAAAAGAAAAAAAAAGACAATAGATCACAAGTGTTGGTGAGGATATGGAGAAAAGAGAACCCTGATGCACTGTTGGTGGGAATGTAAACTGGTGCAACCACTGTGGAAAACAGTACAGAGGTTCCTCAAAGTTAAAGATAAAATTACCATACAACCCAATTAATTCCACTACTGGATACACATACGTATGCACACACTGAAATATTACTCAGCCATAAAAAAGAATGAGATCTTGCCATTTGCCAAAACATGGATAAATCTACAGGATATTATGCTAAGTGAAGCAAGTCAGGAAACAGACTCATAAATACAGAGAACTGAGTGCAGAAGGGAAGAGAAGGGGAGGATGGGTAAAAGAGGTGAAAAGTTTTAAGAGTTACAAACTTCCAGTTATAAAATAAGTCATGGAAACGAAAAGTACAATAGAGGAAGAAAAAAATATTAAATTAGAAACAGATGCAAAACGTAGCAACATAATAAAAGCCATATATGAAAAGTCCACAGCTAATAACATACTCACTAGTCAAAGCCTAGAAGCTTTTTCTCTAAGATCAAGAAAAAGATAAGGATGTCCACTCTTACCACTTCTATTCAATAAAGAACTGGAAGTCCAAGCCAGAACAATTAAGCAAGAGAAATAAGACATACAAATTGGGAAAGAAAATGTAAGACTATCTCTGTTTGCAGGTGACCTGGTCTTATATGTAAAAACCCTACACGTAAAAAACAATAAAGATTCCACCAAAAAATTGTTAGGATAGGGGTGCGTGGGTGGCTCAGTTGCTTAAGTGTCTCACCCTTGATTTTGTCTCAGGTCATAATCTCAGGGTTGTGAGATCAAGCCCTGGGTCAGGCTCTGTGCTGAGCATGGGGCCTGCTTAAGATTCTCTCTCTCCTCCTCCCTCCCTTCCCTCAGCTTGTGCACACTCTCTTTCTCAAAAAAATCTGTTAGAATAAACTAACTGAGCAAAATTACAAGATACAAAATCAACACAAAAAGCCAGTTGTGTTTCTATCCACTAACAATGAATAATCAGAAAAAAAATAAGAAAACAGTTCCAAGTATGATAGCATCAAAAAGAACAAAATACATAGGAATATTTAACCAAGAATGCAAAAGACCTATATATTGAAACTACAAAACACGGCTGAAAAAAATTAAAGACACACAAACAAATGGAAATCTCGTGTTCATGGAATACTTGTAACTGCTAAGATGTCCATATCACCCAAAGTGAGCTATATATACAATGCAATCCCTATCAAAATCCCAACAGCATTTTTGCAGAGGTAGAAAAATCCATCCTAAAATTCATATAAACTATCAAGGGACCCTGAATAGCCTAAACAGTCTTCAAAAAAAAAGTTGAAGAACTAACACTTCCTAATTCCAAAACTTACTATAAAGCCACAGTAATCAAAATAGTGTGGTATGATATAAAAGCAGAAATATAAACCAATGCAATAGAACAGTCCAAATAAACACTCACATATCCAGTCAAAAAATTACCAACAAAGGTGCCAAGACCATCCACTGGAAAAAGGACAAGGTTTTCAACAAATACTGCTGGGAAACTCGATATTCACGAAAAAAGGAGAAGTATCCTTTTCTTACTTCATATCCAAAAATTAACACAAATGGATCAAACACCTAAAGGGGAGAGCTAAAACTATAAAAACTTACAAGAAAACTTAAGAGAAGCTTCATGACATTGGATTTGGCAATGATTTCTTAGATAGGGTACCAAGAACACAGGTAACAACAGAAATTACATAAATTAGACTCCATCAAAATTTTAAATGTCTGTGCAAAAGATACAATCAACAGAGTGAAAAGGTAACCTACAAAATGGGAGAAAATATTTGTAAATCATATCTGATAAGAAGTTTGAAGAACAACTCAATAATGAAAAAACCCCAATCCGATTAAAATGGGTGAAGAATTTGATTAGACATTTCTCCAAAGAGGATAAAAAATGGCAAGCATGAGGAAAGATGATCCACAACCTTAACCATTAGGAAATACAAATCAAAATCCAGTACCACCTCACACCTATTAGGTGGGTACTATGAAAAAAAACATAAGTATTGACAAACAAGTAGTAAAACTGGAAAATGGTGCAGCCACTATGTTAAACAGTATAGTGTTTCCTTTCAACGTTAATAATAGAATTACTATATGATCTAAGCCATTCCACTTCTGGGTACATACTCAAAAGTATTAAAAAAAGAGGTTTTAAAAGAGATATTTTGCACATATCATAGCAACTTCATTGGGGGGGAGGGGCAGAGGCAGGCTTCATACCCCCCTCAATCTCACAACCCTGATATCATGACCAAAGCCAAAATCAAGAGTCAAATGCTTAACCAACTGAGCCATCCAGGCACCCCTAACATAGCAACATTATTTACAATAGTCAAAAGGTGGAAGCAATCCAAATGTCCACCAATGGTGAATGAATAAGCAAAATGTGGTATACGTACACCACAAAATGTTACTTAGCCTTAAAGAAGAAGGAAATTCTGACACATACTGTAATGGATAAATTCTGAGGACATTATATTAAATAAAATTAGCCAAATACTATAGCCATTCAAATACTATATGATTTCACTTAAATGAAGTACTTACCAGTAATCAAATTCAGAAACACTAAGAATGGTGGTTGCCAGGGCATGGAGGAGAAAGGAGAATAATTCAATGGATAGTTTTGGAAGATAAAAAGTTCTGGAGATTGGTTGTACAATAACATGAATACACTTAACAATCTGTGTATTTTACAATTAAAAACAATTTTTTAAACAGCCACATTACCTTTATATTCCAAATTCACTTTGCACTCTGAAAGATACCAGCCTTCTTCATCTCCTCAAAATCTTTCATGGAATCATAATTTCTGTAGAAATCTGCATATGCCTTCTTTCTTGGTTCAGCCACAGCAAACTAAAAAATAACACATCCCATTAAGGCTTATTTTTTAACCATTAGAAATAATATCCAAAAACAACATAAATCATAGTATTTATGTTCACCTTTAACTTGGAACTCTGTATTTCCTAAGACAAAGGTTGGAGGCACTGACACAGATGCAAGGGAAGATTAAGCAGCCTCTTGGAAACTACTCAGCAAGAAGAGCCTTCCTTGCCTGGGGACAGATTATTCCTTTTGCTGGGTGTGGATGTGCAGAATGGTAAAAGCCAAAGGAAGATACCTAGAAAGCTAAAAGGTTTTAGGCAAAGGACAGACAGCCTTCCCTCCAGCAAAACCTAAATATTCCACAGCTGAGACATGCTAAAATTAAAATATTCTGGCTCAATTTGAAGTATATTAACTTGAAAGGAGTGAGATCAATTCAGTACCCAACTGCCTCTGAAAGACACAGGGAGTTTTCTATCTGGCAAGAACAGTTCTGGGTGATTTACACCTCAACATCATTTAAGCCCTTAGAATACACATTGACCTGTTTCGCACACCAGGAAAGGGGACTCAGAATTTAACTGACCTGATTAAGGTCTAGGAAGAAGCACTAGGTGGTAGGTGGTTCAACCAGGATTCAAACCCAGGTCTATCATTTGGCAAAGGTTGATTTTCCACAAAACACTACCTGGTAGATTTCAGTGTACAGGTTATAATCCAAAATCAAATTCCATCCTGCATATTAAACCAGTAAAAAATTCTTCATGTGCCCATCTACCTCCATTAGGGTAATGCAAAAATACAAGAATGACACCTGGTACTTACACAGTCAGAGACTTTACTTGACCAGTTTTACTACCTCACCTCCTATCTAAATTCTCAACTTCTTCAGTAAGACCAAGAGGCAGGAGCCCTAATGTAATCCTCTGAATTGAGGCCAGCCCATTACCCAGAATGCAACTGGGGATTTCTTGTTAAAAAAATATTTTTTCCCTTTAATAAAGTAGCAAAAATAAAGTAAAAGACTCAGTGAACCCAAAAATAAAAGCAAATGGATGTTAGAACCCCACCTAAAGGGGATCCTTGGGTGGCGCAGCGGTTTGGCGCCTGCCTTTGGCCCAGGGCGCGATCCTGGAGACCCGGGATCGAATCCCACGTCGGGCTCCCGGTGCATGGAGCCTGCTTCTCCCTCTGCCTAAGTCTCTGCCTCTCTCTCTCTGTGTGACTATCATAAATAAATAAAAATTAAAAAAAAAAAAAGAACCGCACCTAAATTGTTTTGTTACATTTTAAATAGACTTTTTTCTTTTAAGTCTGAAAAATCTGGACTTGGGCAACAAAAAGAATATAAGCTATCAATTTAGATCCACTATACCAAAAGTTAGTTGAAACCCATAAAATCTATATAAGGCCTATCTGGATAAGCAAATACCTGAAGATTTAGGACAAGCCTAATTTGCATAACAGTAATTGCTCTACATATGGGAAAAATCCATTCAGGATAATCACTGGTCATTGCCTCAAAATCTAACCTATATTAATGAATTTAGGCTTAGCATATTCACTTAATCAAAAATGATTTAATGGATGGTAACTTCATGTAAAAAAAAAGCACAGAAACTGATGAAAATTGTGAAAATCAATCAAAACTAAGAACAAAATAAAGGCCAAATCTTTCAAAGCACTCAATACTAACTGGATAGGGGAAATGAAGAAGTGAGCATCTACTAAGAGAACCAAGTTTAGGGCAGCCCCGATGGCTTAATGGTTTAGTGCCACCTTCAGCCCGGGGAGTGATCCTGGAGACCCAGGATACCCAGGATCCAGTCCCACGTCAAGCTCCCTGCATGGAGCCCGCTTCTCCCTCTGCCTGTGTCTCTGCCTCTCTTTCTCTGTGTCTCTCATGAATAAATAAATAAAACCTTTATTAAAAAAAAAAAAGTTTACACCTGCTTTATTCTTTAGGAAGAATCTGGATTCCTCAGTGCTTTGGGAACCTTCCTTCAATTCAAACACTAATGAACTATACACAAACACTGACTAATCTACCAAGCAAATTTTAAACCTTTTCATTCAGAACAGACTATGGGTCTGGCATGGTCCTAGCTCTTAATTTAGTAGAAGAGACACACCCTGAAGCAAGTATTACTTAAAATACAATGTGCCCAATACTGTACGGTCTGGTACAAAGTGATTAAGAACCTAGCAAAGCACAACCAACCCATCTGGAGGAATAGGCTGCAACTCCAAAAAGGAAACATTTGAGTGGGCCTTGAGGATAAACTGGAACTTGCCACACAAGGAGATGAAAGACATTCCTGCTGTGTACAAACCCATGGGAGAAAGCAGAATTTTGTAACAGCAAATAGTTATGAAGGGCTGGAGGGCTGAGTATATTGGACTGCTGGGAAGACAATGGAAAGGCAAAAAGAGAAAGGCAAAAGGGGCTAATGAGAAAGTATCTTAAAATCAAAACTAAGTTTCAGCAAATCACCCATGACCCTTTAATAAGTGATGAAACCAATTCGGAAGATTGCAACCAGTCGTTAATGTATTTCTTACTATAAGTAAAAAGTTTGAAAGCCACTGCACACTGGGCATGCAGGACTCCATACCATAAACAAATCTATTCTGGAAGCTGAAGGTAAATGTGGCAAGAATGTACACAAGTTACAAAGGCCTGATCTGATGTTTGACAGAAACAATGAGGACAACCAGGGTGAAGAAAGGAGTTCCCCAAATTTCTCTTACTCCCACTTCATTTACTCATCCATCCATCCTTTTCCCACAAACATTTATTTCATACCAACTACATGCCAGGTAGCAAAGATCTCAAAGAGCAAGTAAAGGGTTTATTTATGCCTATCTCCTCAAATGGTCCTACAGCACAGACCCCTTAGTGCTTTTGCTCAAGTTGTTTTCCCTCCTCTTAGTACTTCAAATTCACTCTAATTTCCAAGGCACAAATTCTACCTTCTCTATCAAAGAGCTATGACTCACAATACCCCTCACCCACTGAAAGAAACACACAAAAGCGGCAATCAACTATTGCTGATTGTACAGTTCACCTATTACATGGAGGACAGAGTCCTCCTTGCCCATCTCTATTCTTGCAAAAACTGTGTATAAGCTGTTCTAGAAACAGCTCTGAGAAATGAAATGTCCTTTCGTTTATATTCTATCTTGCAATAATTATTTTTTTTACCTCCCCTAATTTGACTCTAACTTCCTTAAAGACACAAATTTAGATGTATATACACTTAGTATACTCCAAAGCATCTGGACTCTATAGCACCTACCACTGTACTCAATTTCAGACACTACATTTTATTCAACAGATACTTTTAAGCATCTATTTGTCAGGCAACTGACGATGGGGTGCCCCTGCAAACAAAAAAAGCGCCATGCCCTAATGAGTCTCAGTCTACTAAAAAAATAAGAACTAAACCAAAAAAATTAAATACAAAGCACTGGAAGGCTCTAATTCCCTCATAGGCCATTATGACATAAATAACATGTATGATCATAAACACTTTTATAGAGAAAAGTTGTAAATATAGCATGGAGACTTTGAGAAACACAAAGCACATAGGAGTATTCTGGGAAAAAGGTGGCATAGGAACACCAGGAATCTCTCCCCACCTTCACAACAACTGTATTAGCACAATCTGTGAAACTTTGGATCTCCTGAAAGAATGCAATTTCCAGAGGAAGGCTTAAACTGTAAATTGTGGTCAAATTAATTTCATTCACTTTCAGCTTTTAGCAACCTAACAGCTACCCATTTCCCCCAGGCCCAAGGCAGGAAGCTGTGCATGTGTTCCTGGAGCAGCTTACACATAGCTTTTCTGGAATGAAGATGGGCAAGAAGGACCCTCTCCTCCATATACCAGGGATCTGTACTCTAATAGTAGATTGTTTTTGTTCACAGAGGCGCAAACAGGCTGGTGGCCACTGTTTTTGGCACTCCTCCTACTGTTTCAAGTCCTTTTTCACCAGGTGAGCTACTTCCAGGGGACTTCAAAGAACAGAGAATCTTTTTCCCCTCCCTTCTTTTTTTCTCCTTTTGGGAGCCAAAGCTATCTATACATACAATCCCCACAGATTATAGAATGGACTAAAAAATGACCTAACTATATATGCTGTCTGCAACACTCATTCCAGATCCAAAGACAAAAACAGATTGAAAGGGAAAGAGTGGAAAAAAGATGTTCTATGCAAACAGTAACCAAAGGAGCAAGAGAGCTTTACTAATAGCAGACAAAACAGACTTTAAATCAAAAAAAGATTACAGAAGACAAAAAAGGATTTTATATAATCATAAAAGCTTCAATAGGATACGACCTTATAACACTTAGAAAAATTTACTCAGCAGGAACACCAGCAAAATATATAAATCAAAAACTGACAGAATTGAAGAGAAAAATAGTTCTACAGCTGAAGACTTCAATACTACAATCTCAGTAACAGATAAAACAAGACCAGATCTAAGGAAATAGAGGACTTAACTCATTAAACCAATCAGATCTAACACATATACAAAGAGCATTCCACCCCAACAACAGAATACACATTTTTTTTAAAACAGTGATTTATTTATTTACTGAGAGAAAGAGAGAGAGAGAGCGAGCACGTGCACAAGAGAGCACTTATATGCATAGCAGGAGGAGGGAAAAGGAGAAACAGACTCCCCTGCTGAGCAGAGTCCCAGTGCAGGCCTAGATCCCAGAACTCTCAGATCATGACCTAAGCTGAAGGCAGAAGCTTAACCAACTGAACCACCCAGATGCCCCCAGAATACACATGCTTCTCAACTGCACATGGGATATTTTCCGGGGCAGACCACATATTAGGCCATAAATTAAGTCTCAACAGATGTAAAGGCAGATATCATACAAAGTATGTTCTCTGATCATAATGGCATGAGATTAGAAATCAATAACAAAAGGAAAACTACAAAATTCACAAAACTATGGAGATTAAGCAACAAACTTTTAAACAACCAATGAATCAAAGAGAAATTAGGAATGAAATTAGAAAATATTTAGAGACAAATGAAAAACAGGACACACCAAAACTTACAGGATTCAGTGAAAGCAGTGCTAAGGGGGGGAATTTTTAAGTATAAATACATACATTAAAAAACGAGAGAGGGGAGCAGCCTGGGTGGCTTAGTGGTTTAGCGCCGCCTTCCACCCAGGGCGTGATCCTGGAGACCCGGGATCAAGTCCCACATCAGGCTCTCTGCATGGAGCCTGCTTCCCCCTCTGCCTGTGTCTCTGTCTCTCTCTGTCTCTCTCTCTCTCTGTGTCTCTCATGAATAAAGAAATAAAAATCTTTAAAACAAAACAAAACAAAAAAACAAGAGAGGGGCACCTAGGTGGCTCAGTGGTTAAGCATCTGCCTTTGGCTCAGTTCCTGATCCTGGGTCCTGGAATAGAGTCCTGCATTGGGCTCTCCAACTGGAAGCCTGCTTCACCTCTGCCTCTCTCTCTCTCTCTCTCTCTCTCTCTCTCTCTCTCTCTAATAACTAAAATCTTAAAAAAGAGAGAGAGATCTCAAATCAACAACCTAACATTACAACTTAAGAAACCAGAGGGATCCCTGGGTGGCGCAGCGGTTTAGCGCCTGCCTTTGGCCCAGGGCGCGATCCTGGAGACCCGGGATCGAATCCCACGTCGGGCTCCCGGTGCATGGAGCCTGCTTCTCCCTCCTCCTGTGTCTCTGCCTCTCTCTCTCTCTCTGTGTGTGTGTGTGACTGTCAAAAAAAAAAAGAAAAGAAACCAGAAAAAGAACAAAATAAACCAAAAGCTAGAAGGAAGGAAACAATAAAGATTAGATAGAGCAGAGATCAACAAAACAGAGGCTAGGGGAAAAATAAAAGAAAGAAATCAACAAGGCCAAAAACTGGTTCTTCAAAAACATCAACATAATTGACAGCCCTTTAGCAAAATGGGCTAAGAAGCAAGGGGAAAAGATTTAAATTACTAAAATCAGGAATGAAAGTGGAGACATTGGGATCCCTGGGTGGCGCAGCGGTTTGGCGCCTGCCTTTGGCCCAGGGCGCGATCCTGGAGACCCGGGATCGAATCCCACGTCGGGCTCCCGGTGCATGGAGCCTGCTTCTCCCTCTGCCTGTGTCTCTGTCTCTGTCTCTCTCTCTCTCTCTGTGTGATGACTATCATAAGTAAATAAAAATTAAAAAAAATATATATTAAAAAAAAAAAAAAAAGAAAGTGGAGACATTACTACAGATTCTAAGAGGGTAGTATGAACAACTATATACCAACAGACTGGATAACTTAGAGGAAATGGATAAATTCCCACAAACACAAAACCTACCAAGACTAAATCACAAAGAAAGAGAAAATCTGAGCTATAACTAGTAAGGACATTGAACCAGTAATCAAAATAATTCCTAATAAAGAAAAGCCCTGGATCTGAGGACTTCACTGGTCAATTCTACAAAAAATTATCAATCCTTCTGAAATCTTTCCAAGCAACTGAAGTGGAAACACTAACTCATTTTATGAGGCCAGCATTACCCTGATACCAAAGCTAGACAAACACTACAAGAAAACTACAAACCAATATTCCCTATGAACACTGACACACAAAAAAAATCTTTAACAAAAACTAGCAAATTGAATTCAGCAGCATATTAAAAGGACTGTACACCATTACCAAGGGAGGTATATTCCTGGAATGCATGGATGGTTCAATACACAATGGCTCAACATAAAGAAATCCATCAATGTAATATACATTAACAGAATAAGTGAAAATAAAAACCACAATAATCTCAATTAATGCAGAAAAAGCACTTGACAAATTCAATATCCTGTCATGATAAAAACACTCTAAGAATAGAATGAAACTATCTCAACATAATCCATGGGATGTCCACTTTTGTCACTTCCATTCAACACAGTTCTAGCCAGAGCAGTTTTGCAAGAAAGAGAAATAAAAGGCATTTAAATGGGAAAGGAAGAAGCAAAATCATCTGTTTATAGATGATATATGTAGAGAAAACCCTAAATATTCCACACAGAAAAAACCTGTTAGAATCAATAAATAAATTCAGCAAAATTGGATATAAAATGTATGACAATACTACAGAAAACAGTATGGTGGTTGCTTGAAAAGTTAAACACAGAATTACCATATGATCATTCCACCTCTGAATATATACTGAAAAAATTAACCCATGTTCATAGGAGCATTACTCACAATAGCTAAAACATGGAAGCAACCTAAGTGTCCATCAAAGGTGAGTGAATAAGCAAAATGGAATATTATTCAGTCTTAAAAAGGAAGGAAATTCTGACATACACTACTACATGGATGAACCCTGGGGTCATCATGCTAACCGAAATAAGCCAGTTACAAAAAGACAAAATAATGTAGGATTTCATTTATATGAGGTACCTAGAGTAGTCAAAGTAAGATACTGAAATATTAGCTTTATGGACTGGGAGTAGAAAAGAGATGGGTTTGTTGTTTAATGGATATAGTTTCAGGTTTTATAAGATGAAAGAGTTATGGAGATGGACTGTGGTGATGGCCACACAACATTATAAATGTTTTTAATACCACCGAAGTGTACACTTAAAAATGGCTAAATTTTATGTGTATTTTACCATAATACAAAACATTTATTAAAAAACCACCAAAGGGGGCAGCCGGGTGGCTCAGCGGTTTAGCGCCTGGAGATCCGGGATTGAGTCCCATGTCAGGCTCCCTGCATGGAGCCTGCTTCTCCCTCTGCCTGTGTCTCTGCTTCTCTCTCTCTCTGTCTCTCATGAATAAATAAATAAAATCTTAAAAACAACAACACCAAAGGTCATGTGTTAGAACCCACAAAAGGTACAGCATTAAAATGCAGTTCTGTGGCAACAAATGCTTCAAGCTGCCAAACACTGCCTTCCTCATCCCTCTGCTTTAGTAAAATTATATCCTTTTGTTATGGACTGATTTGTTTTCCAAAATTCACGTGCTAAAGTCTTAAAACCCCTAGCACCTCAGAATTTAACAGTATTTGGAGATAGGTCTTTAAAGAGGCAAATTAAAATGAAATTTGTACGGTGAGTTCTAATCCAATATGCTTAGCATCTTTACACCAGGAGATTAAAAAAAAAAAAAAAAAACATGTTAGCACAGAGACCAATGTGAAGACAAAGGAGAAACCCATCAACAAGCCAAGGAGAGGCTTCAAGAGAAATCAACCTTGCAGCCACATTGATCTTGGATTTCTAGCCTCCAGAACAATAAATAAAAGTTGTTTAAGCCACCCAGTTTGTTGTACTTTGGCAGACCTAGCAAATTAATACAGCTGCTTTTAGAAATGGAGGACAAGCTATCTAGGGAATAGGAGGTATTTTTCCTGACACGGAGAGAGCGGAAGAAGAAGGGAGCACATTAAAGAGGGAGCTTCTTTCAAAGACTCAGGGCTACTTATGAAAATAATTTTCATATTTAAAACACACATTTTTGAACCAAAAATGGACCAAAGTAAAAAATCAAACATACATACCTTATAAAAAGCTGCAACCCCCAGGGATACAGCGAAGGCTCCAACGATATGAAATCGCAGACGCTTGGCCAGAAGGCCTCGCATCTGAGGTTTCGTTAAAGCACTTGAAGTCATGGTAGTTCTTCTCCTTGATAGTAAAATAATAAAAACAGCTGAGAACACAGTAAGATATCTGCAGAACTCTTAAGACACAATGCACTTCAGAGGGGCACAGGCATGACTCCTCCCACAAAGCATGAGGTGTTTAAAGGCTTAGCCTGCTTCAGGGTTTTGGGTTTTTTCCCTCCAGCAGGCTGAATGACTACCCTAAATAAGCAAGGGCACTGTAATAAGTAATAGTAGCCGGGGAGCAAAAATTAGAAAACAAGTATCTCCCAACCAGTTAAGATAAGCGGTGGCTCTAGAGTGACAAGTGCAAACGGATTTACAGCCGTGGTACTCTTCTACGAATTTACTATCGGCTCATTATTCCCATTTCATTGACGAGAAAACTAGGGCACACGGAGATGACGTGTAATTTTTCCAAGGTTACGGGATAAGCTATTTTACCTCTGGCAGGAGCCCAGCAGGGGCCTCCACCTAGTGACCGGACCGAGGCGCGGCCCCGCAGACCCTCGGCCGCCTGGGCCCGGTGGCGCGCTGGGAGGCTGCAAGACGCCCACCTCCCCCTCCCCGAGGCACAGAGACCCTTTTCCAGCTTCCGGAGTCGAGTCAGCACGGACCGCGCGCGGACACTGCTCCTTCCCCTACGTTGCCCCTTAGGATGCCGACCGGATGCGGGAAAAAGTGAAAACCCTGGGGCTAGACGAGTCAAATGACCCAACCAAGGTCACGCTGAATGGGGGAAAATACACTGCGGAGCCCAGGCCCCCGCCGGCCGCCTCTCGATCCCAGCTGCTTCCTCCACGCCCCTGCAGCCCCCCGGCCGGGCCCTCGGCCTCCGGAAGCCGCGGCGGGGGCCTGCAGGGGTCGACCCCTGGAGAGGTTCGAGGCCGCCCGACCGCAGATGCGGGCACAACTCAACTCCAAGACAGAGCGAGAGCAGGCAACAGGACGCAGCAACTACATGAACCCTGAAGTGGGACACGACAGCAACACGACTCACCTTCACACCTACCTCGAACCTAACGTCCTTCCTGACAGAAATGGACGGCGCCCGAGCAGTGCGCAGGCGCAGAAGTACAAGCGGCGGAGAGGACCCAGCGACGGTGGCCTGAAGAGTCCAAAAGGCCTCTGGCGCGCCTCCCGGCTTTCACAGCTGAAGTTCACGAGTGTGGTCAGCTCTTTCCTGCAATATCTGGAACTAAAAGCTTGACCTTCTGAGTCGGTTTCTTTAGTAAATTGGAGATATTAATCTTACTGATATACAGAGTTGATATGACTTATTAGAGAATACAAAGATATTTAATATGGAGAGAGAGAGGGAGAGAGAGATTTTATAGATTTTATTTATTCACCAGAGAGAGAGAGAGGCAGAGACACAGGCAGAGGGTGAAGCAGGCTCCTCGCAGGGAGCCCGACGTGGGATTCGATCCCGGGACCCCGGATCACGACCTGAGCCAAAGGCAGACGCTGAACCACTGAGCCAGCCAGGTGCCCCTAATATGTAACATTTTTAAATGTACCTAACAAATACAGCACAAATCGTCCTGGGCCCATGCTGGGCCGGAAACATGTACAATCCGTCATTTTCATTAACTACCCCTATGTGAATAATCATTTGGTTTGGGTAAAGGTGAATGAGACAGCCAAGTTCTAGGAGCTCAGAGCTTAGCCAATAAAACTGACATAAACAGATTAACAATCCCAAGTGAGGGGCGCTTCTGCAGAGACATGACCTAGCAATAGTAGAAGCAATTACCTGTCTGGCAGAGCTGAACAAGTTCTGGTAGAAGTATTTGTTTGGGGTTTTTAGTAAGAGACAAGTGTCTTAAAGGAAGGCAACTGCAAGTTTATGAAAAGTGGTGTGTAAGGGTAGGGCTCTTGTGCTGTAGGGGTGTCAGGCTTGGTTTTTATTGAAATAACCCGGATTTATAGTGTTGTTTAAGTCAGTTCAGCAAGCACTGTACATTAGGTTATAAACTACCCACGGTATAAATTCATCATATATTGATCAAGCATTTACTATGTACCCAGGTTCTGCTATATAGAAGGACAAATCTTCAAGGAGGTAACATTCTTGTCAGGGAGTCTTAGTTCCCAATGGACACTGTCATTTTGTGAAACCTTTTGGCCACACAGAAAAGGTGCTAATTGAGGGTCAGAGTGGGTTTGTACCTCAGTAACAATCTTTCCAGACTCCTTATCAATGATCTACCCAGCTAAAAATCTTTACATGAGATTTGCCCAGGTGGTAATGTGTTCCCATTTTCTTTTTATTCCCACTCCCAAAACTGGCCCGGAGAGCAAGCAGTAAATTTCAGAATTCATAGGGTTTGTTGTGTATTGAACAATTAGGGAAAGCTTCAGGGAAGTCATGGAAGAGATGGAAATGGAGCTGAGCCTCAATCTATTAGAGAGAGCTGGAGAAGAGGAGAAATCTAAGAGACAAAATTGGTCAGAAGAATGTGGCAAAGACAGACACACTGAGGGAGCAGAGCTTAGCCAGCATGGAGTGCTGAGCAGTGGTTTAAGAACACTGGATGGGTAGAGAAGCACAGGGCCAATCATAATAATTCAAGGTGACACATGGATAGAACCTGAATGGACATGAACAGCTTGGAAGGGTCATTATTCCACCACCACAAAAGGCATGGTGATGATTTGTAATGTCTAAAAAATATTTCTATTCTTTTCTCAGGCATATGGTAGGGCCATGCATCCCTGATGCTTTTAAAGTTAGGATATGACTTGCTTTGTCCAATGCAATATAACTGGAAGTGATGTGTAGAAGTGATGTGTGGAAGCCTCAGGGTAGAAGCTTTACAATACAGCATGTGGTTTGCCATGTTCTCTTTGCCCAGCCTTTGTTATAAGGGAAGTATTGAGTGAGATGGCACCTATGTCAGCTGGATCTGGGAGAGATCAAGATAAACAGAGCCTTCCTACTATCTTGCACTGGCCAGACTCAATGAGTGAGAAATAAATGGTATGGTAGCTGTGATCCATTGAGATTCAGGGGTTGTTTGGTCCTATAGACGAACTTTGCTTTTCCTGATTGGTAGAAGAAGTTAAGAAATGTGTCTGTTTTAGTTAGGGATGTGGGTATGTAAATGCTGAGACAGGTAAGTAATAGAGACCATGGGAGTGTGAAGAGGAAAGGGGGACATTAAGCTGGCACTTGATGGTAAATAAGATATGTGCATCACCACACCTTCTCCTAAATTGAAAACAAAATGGTTTATCCATGTTAGAGGCATCCCTGGGCCCACCCCTGAGCTCCTCAGAGGTTCCCAGAGAAACCCTGAGTTTTACAATAAAACCCCATCTGTTGCTCAAGAGCTCTCCAGCTGTTGGCCCAAGGGAACTCTGGATATGTGGAGCCCTCAAGAAGGTTTTCCCCCTGAGGCATCAGCATCTCAAATCTTCTTAGGCTGATAAGACACTGTATCCTAAGGGACTCTGGACTCCCTGAAGTGTGCATGTGGATCAGGGACATGTTTTCGGGCCACCTCAAGGCCAAGTTGCTGCCTCACTGTGTCATAAACTCTATGTAGCACCCAGTAGTTTGCAAAACATGTTCAATTTTGTGTTTTCATTTTGTCCTCTCAATAATCCCATAAGATGAGCAGGTATTCTTGTATTTTAGATAAAGACACTGAAGGTTCAGTGGTAGAAAAATAGCAGAACTGAGAATAGAATCTAGTGAGATTCCTCTCATAACAGTTGTGAAGAGTACCTCCAGAAGAACAAATCTACCTCAGTGGACACCACTCATGAGTCTGTGATGATTTATTGAGCACTTATTATGTGCTCTGTGTTGCTATCCCTAATGGCTGAGAGTATAGTCCCAAGAAGCCACAGAGGATACTCCTCAAATCAGTAGATTATTTCATAACCACTCATTTCTCTTTAGTTGTATAGATACAGCCTCCTAGGTCCCACTGAGAAAACCTTAGAAGCTATTAATTCAAACTAATAGGCCCTTCCTCACTGACCTCCAAATCCCACTGCAGCCATTGCCACAGCCATGATGCCCAAACGAAAGAAGCAGAATCAGCAACAGCCACCGCCACCACAACAGCCCCCACTGCCAGAGCGGGAGGAGATGGGAGATGAAGAGGATAGGAGTCCCATCGGATCATCCAGCTTTCTGGACCTCCCACCCTGGCCAATGGAAAGCCTGGTGACCCCAAGTCAGCCCCAAACTGGAATCCACCCACATGTCCACCATCAGTAGAATGGGTAAATAAGTTGTGTGTGCATGCAATGGGATACTACACTGCAATGAAAATTAACGAACTCCTGCTGCAGGCAACCTGGATGAATCTCACAAACACGGTGTTGAGCGAAAGGAGCCAGACAGAAAAGAATGCAGACTCTCTTCACAGAGGTCCTCCAGGATCAAAGGGACCAATGATTCCACCACCACTGCTGAACCTCCCACCTCCTCCCAGGGGCAGAGGCCCAATTCGGGGAGTCTTGGGCCCAGGTGCGGCCAGCCCATATGGTTGTGGCTGGTGGGGGGCCAATACTGAACCCCCTTTTCCTGGACCAGGCCATGAGGGTCCTTCCAGAGGAGGCTTTCACAAAGAACAGAGAAACCCTGAAGGCTCAAAAGTTGGTCTCTTATCAAAAACACCTGCCCGTCCAAGGATGGCCCCAAGTTATGGAAGACAAATCCAACCTCCCTGTCTGCCAACACTTTGCCAAAAAGGGCCACTGTCGATATGAGGACCTCTGTGCCTTCTACCACCCAGGCGTCAATGGACCCCCTCTGTGAGACTGTGCCTTCCTATCCAGGCTGGAAGGAGCCCTTTGACCTAGTGCCCATATCTTTCCTTGTGGCCCTGTGACGGTTACTGTGAGGCTGTTCCACCCACCACCTTCAGTCAGTGACACCCACCCCCATCTGCCACCTCCCCAATTTGGGGTCCAGAGTTGTGTTTCATCACTGGTGCCCAGCGTGTGGGCTTTCTTCTCCAGCCTCCAGAGACTCGCCTTCAGGGCCCCATCTTTGCTCTCTTCCACTGCCTCCTGGATCCTCTTCCCCTTTGCCAATTGACTGCTGAACAGGAAGCCTCTTTGGTGCTGTTTCTTGTGCATCTGTCCACCCAGCCCTTGGTACTGCCCTCAATTCCTAAGAGCCCTGGAGCAGTTTCCTACCATTCCCTTCTTCTAGTTGCTTGTTTTAAGTCCTTTTTTTTTTAAGATTTTATTTATTCATGAGAGACAGAGTGAGAGAGAGAGAGAGAGAGAGGCAGAGGCAGAGGCAGAGACACAGGCAGAGGGAGAAGCAGGCTCCATGCAAGGAGCTTGACGTGGGACTCAATCCTGGGTCTCCAGGATCACGCCCTGGGCTGAAGGCGGGGCTAAACCACCAAGCCACCAGGGCTGCCCTTTAAGTCCTTTTTATGTGACAAACCCTATCCCCAAAGTTGCCAGTTGCTCTGTGAAACTCACAAGGTTGACCTGGGGTCAAATACGGATGACTGGTGCAGAGTTACTCCCTGGTTTTGGATTTTGTAGATCCTGTGTCAGTAGCATGATCCCCACCGCTCTGGTCTGTGATCACTGTGCTTTGTGAAACTGTGCTTCGCCTCGTACATAGTCTTTCTCAGTGTCCGTCACATCATTGTGACTTCCCAACACTAGAGTAAGTTTTTCTGCCAAAATGAGTGAGGGTCTTGATGCCCTCTAGACTTTCCACACCTCCCAACATGAGAGAGTTGTGAAACTTTCCACAAGACTACCTCCCTGATCTCCCCATTCTCCCGGTGTCGGTTTTTCGGGGTTTGACACAAGCCCACGAGATGTCCTCTAAAGCCTCTTATGGGCTATCCTATCTCCTCTCCAGCCCACTTTAGTTAGAGTACGTCATTATGAGGCCACCTGTCCCTTCGTCTGAATTCTGTGAATCTCCACCTGGCTTACCCTTGGGTGGAGCCTGGACAGTAGTATTGCCCTCCTCTAACCTTCCTCCCTACATCCCTGGCACTGGCCATTTTCTGTGAAAATGGCAGTGAACAGGTTTGGTTTTGCAAATGGGTAAGGAGTTGTGTGGGCAAGAGGGAAGGATGAGA